TACTAGTACTTAAAGTTCTTAGTACTTTTATAAGAGAACTTATAGTACTTATATTTATCCAAATCGGGTTTATTATCCGATTCTTTACTAGATTAATTCCCGAATATAGTAAAAATTATAGAAGCTTCTAAGTATTTAATATTCTAATTTTCTAAAATTATTTAATTAAATATCTGGCTATACTATTTGAGTATAAGAATCAGAAGCTCTAGTTTATTCTTACTATATAGATTACTAAGCTATTCTATTACCTAGATTAGTACAAGTTTCTACTAGAGGGCTATTAAGAACTCGATTATTACTAGAATACTTTTAATTTTAGTAATTTTAAAAACTCTAGTATAATTAAATGCCTTTTTCTAATTAGTAAACTAGTATTTTGGGTTTACTTCTTCTTTACTTATTTATAATAGAACCGAGCTATATACTCTTTGAATAATAATAATTTATACTATATTTATAGAATTATATTTTATTAATAAAGCCTTAAAAACCTTATAAATAGAACTTTACTTATTTTCTTTAAGTTCTAAAATAGAGTTTATAAGAATCTCTATATTAACTATTTAATAAAGCTATTATCTAATTATATAGTAGTATACTAGCTTATTTATCTAGTCTAGTTTCTTAATCTTATAGTTCTATAAGAGTACTAAATAGTAATTTCTAATATTTCCGAATATTATAGGCTATAGAAATACTAGTTTTAATTCTTTCTTAACTATAGGTAGTATATTAAATAAATAGAATAGAATAGAATAATAGCTATTACTTTTATTTTATTTAAGCTAAAAACCCGTTACTTTTATTTTATTTATATATTATTTAAGTTATTTATAAATAATAATAAATAATTTAAATAATATATATAATCTATATATATACTTGAGCTAGCCTAATCTGGTATGGCTTCGGGGAGGGCCCGCACCTAGCTTTACCTAATATTACCTTACTACCCAATTAGGTAGTTATAGTACTTAGTAAGCGAATTGAACCTTAGTAATAATTAGTTTATTTATAATATAAAATCTGTATTTAAATAGCCTTATATAAGTATTAGCTTAGCTTATATAAGGCTATTTAATAAATACCTTAGTTCTTTTTTTTAAATTTAAATATATATTAATTTACTATAATTAATTAACTTTTATATAACTTCTATTTAGTTATTTATAGTTATTTATATTATTTATAAATAATTATTCTATTTTACTCAAATTATTTAAGATATTTATTACTCTTATTTTATTTAAGTTATTTATGAATTATTTATAAATAACTTAAATAACTTAAATAATTCTTTAATATACTAATTATAGGTCGAGTATTCTTATTCTAATTCTCTACTTTAACTTAGTATCTAGTATAGTAATCCTCGATTTCCTTTAGTATAAGCTTGTTAATTATAAGAGAAGGCCTGGAAGAAGCTACTATATTCGTTTTAATTACTTTATTATTAAATAGATTAATCTTATTTCAGATGCCCTTATTACCGGCTACTTTATAGAGAGTATTAAATTAGTCCGGCTAGAAACTGTAGTTCTTTAGAATAATAATCTTTATTATAGCTTCTAATATAATTGCAATTAAGCTTATAGAAATAGTAGAAACTATAGAAATGAGTTTTATTAAGTAGTTAATAACAGAAATGCAAACCGAAGTGTAATTTTCGAAGAAATAAATTAAATAAGCTTTTGAATACTTTCTATAGTATACTAATTAGGAAGCTTGTTAGTATAAGGCCGGGCTTATAACTAATATATATAAAGATTATAGAGTAGGGAGTTATATTAAATAATAAAAAAGTTAATTAAACTAGCTAGAAAAGAGCTTAAGTAAAGTATAAAGCTTTAGGAAGTAAATATATAGATTCTGACTAAGTAAAGCAATTATGCTAGCCTCAAATTAGTAATTCTTATTATAACAAATTCTTATATAAAATATAATTATAATTAAATAGCTAATATTTTGTTTTTATTTTATATAATATATTAAATAATTATATTAGATTAGAAATTCTAATTTATATTCGATTTTTATAATAAATTTAATATAAAAATTAATATAAAACTATTAGCTAATTTCTATTTATAACTAAAAAGAATTATAAGTTTTATATTTTTCTAAATTAGAACTTTTTTATTAAAACTAGTTTATTTAAAAAAAACTAAATAGAAATAAAGCTAAAATATTAATAAATTAATAATATAAATTATAGTAATTTATTTAAAATTATATAAAATAAATATAAAAATAATATATAATATATATTAATAAATATTATTATTTAATTAATTTTAAAATTAGAAATAAAATATAAATTATTATAAAATATTAAAAATCTAATTATTTAAACTAGAAATTAGAAAACTAAATAAAGAATTTATTTAAGATTCTAGAATAATATAATTATTTATTTTTTTCTAAAGCTATTAAAAATTATAGAAATATATTTAGCTTTTTATATAAAAAACTTATAAAAAAACTTATAGAATTCTTTATTAAATTAAATAAATTTAAAATTACTTTTATTAATATTAGTAAATAATAAATAAAAATATAATATTAAATAAGTTATTATAATTAAACTAATAAAAACTAAACCAAAATATAAAATTTAGTAAATTAGTTAAAATAAGAATTTAGTATAATATCTAGTTTTAATATTAAATAATAATTCTCTAATTTTATAAAGCTTTTATAATAATAATATTAATATACTAAAAATTTTATAAAACTTATAATATTAGCTAAATTATATAAGAAAATTATATTTATTTAAATTTATATAAAAATAATAATTAATTTTCCTAAATTATATATTAAAAATATTTATTTTTTATATATAATATTTATATTTAAAATATTAGTTTATTATAAAAAGAAAAATAATATAAAATTAGAAGAATTAATAGCTTTTATAAAGTTTAAAAACAAGCTTATTTTAAAAAAGAAAATAATATTATAATTTCTAGATATCTAATATTTAAAATATTTTTTAGATATATATAATATAATTATTTTATTAGAAAAATATATTTAAAATATATTAGAAATATTTAAAAAACTAAAGTTCTTTTAAAACTAATATATTATAAAATATATATTTTTTTTTATAATTTCTTATATTTTAGTTTTTTCTTTTTTAGCTTTAAATTATTTTTATAAGAAATCTTTTATTATATTTTCTAAATCCTAAATACTATATTTATAATAATAATTAATAAAATAAAAAATAGTAAATAATTATATATAAAAGCTAATTTTTTTAAAAAAAAAGCCTAAAAAAGAATTTAAAATATAAAAATAAAATAGTTTTATAAATAAAAATATAAATAATAAAAAACTTATAAGAGTAAATAAAGCTTAAAAGAATTTATAAAAAAAAAGTTATATAAATAGAAATAAGTTTTATAAAAATTTATAAATATAATATAATTTTTTTTAATTTATATATTATATTAATATAATTATATTTAAATAAAAGATTTTATAAATAATAAAGAATTTAATAATTAAAAATAAAGCTTAAAATAGCCTATAAAATAAAAGAAAGAGCTCTATAAATATAATTAGAAATATAATAATTTATTAAAAAAGAGAAAGAGCTCTATATTAAAGCTAAAGTTACTCTCTCTTCTCGAATCGAGATTAGGGCAAAATTAAAGACTGGCCCCGGAGCTTGCACAGGGCCGCCAGGCTTGAATTTTAGCGAAGCGGCCCTGTTGATAGAGTATTAACTTCACGTTAACTGACCTAAAATTATAGCATTAGGAGCTGAAGGGCCCTTCCCGAGAGACTATCCAAAGGTCAAGAAACTTTATTAGGAGGCGCTTGATTACGTTGAGTCCCTCTCGGTAATTTTTTAGTTCGAGAATCCGGCTAGGCCAGTTGACTCGAATGTCATTGGCTTCCTGTACAGCGAGAATAGCTCCACACGGTTACTTGGCTCTATATTCTTTTGATCCATCGACCGTATTTATTCTCTATTGCCGAAAGCCGCATAGCAATCGTGAAGGCAAGCATTGGAAAGCTTTCTGCCCAGCAGCATCTCTTTCATCACCTGCCCCCGCATCAGTACAAGTTTTCACGCTTTCTTTCTTTTTTCAGCGTCAAATGGATTAGCTGGCCCATGTGCAGATACCATAAGCACTCTTCTAACACCTGCCGAGAGACTAAGTAACAGAGATAATTCTATGGCAAACCGGAGATTACCACCCATGAGTTCTGAACTAGGTTCCACAATGAAGTCTTTGTCCCTAATTTTGCTCAAATCATGGCACCTCAGGCGAGTTGAAAAGAATATTCAGTTCCCGGGAATGTGTTCGGTTTAACTCTAATATCCTTGAATCCCGACCAGTGCAAATAGGTCATTTTCACGAGATTGAATTTGGCTACACTTCTATGCTTTTGCCTACTACAGAAGGCGTGATGTATACCAAATCCGCTCCGACTCTGAACTTCCAACACTCCATGCTACAGGTACAGATGAGCCACTTTCAGGAGATACTGCCCCGGAATCCAGTGGTAATTGGAGTGGAATAAACTGGACCAATGATTTTCTGTTCTGGGGCGTAGCACCTCACCCAAGTCGATGTTGACGATGAGGTGGCCTGAATGTGGATTGAAAAAAGGGCTGTTGAGATTGTTGATAACTCCAAGGCAGTCGTCTTGAGCATTGATTGCCTAGGTCAATACACCGATCTGGCCGAACATGGTGTTAATGTCGAAAGAGTGGTTAACGGCAGGAAGATAACGGAGTCAATCTCTGATTTTAGAATCATTGATAGATTTCTACAGCAGTGAGATATACCTGTACAGGATTGGGAAGACAAGTCCATCAATGTCAACTTGCTCTAATGACCCACAAGCATCCGCTCTAAAATAGGAATTTTGCGCGAAAGCTCAGCGGAAGACAATTAGCAGTGCAGAAATCCCTTTCACCGGAAGTGAGTAAGAGAATAGCACTTGTAGTTAAGCAAAAAGATCTAACCACGCTTCTCATAGTGTTATATCCTCTATGCCCAAGCTCGACTCATTGTAAAACTCCTCAACCTTCTGAGCAGTGATTTTGTTCTCGATATCACCCATAGCAAAAGGCAAGACTGCCTTTACATCAGCAATCCCCATCTTCAAACCCGAGCTCTTTGCATTACGCTCTCTTATCTTGACGTGCAACGAGGCAACTCGCAGGATGTTCTTAATGGTTCGCCCATCTAGCGGAATTCGGCTTAGTCTCTCGAAGTCGGACTCATCGAAGTCGCAGTCTGTCTGTTTAGCCATTGTTTCCCAAATGAAACTCCGCTGCTTCGGAACGAGTGGCTCGTATCTGAGAGTGATGTGTACTCTTGAAAATAATGCTTTGTCGAAATCGGTAATTCTGTTGGTGGTAAGAAAGATAATGCCAGACTGATACTCAATCATACGCAGCAAAACTAGATTCAAATTAGTAGCCCCTTCCAACGATAATCGTACTTAAAGGAGCACACAAGGCTAAAAATACATACTTGAAGTCAATGCATTCTTCTTCCCATCTGAATAATGGCCTCCGCGGGAGGCAACGAAAGTGTCAGCCTCGTCAAAAAGAAGAATAGCTTCCCATCGAGCGATCCTTTTGAATATGCGTTCCAATTTGTCTTCGATCGAGATCGAGTTATTGTAACTATAGGCCATATCTAACAAGCCTAGTTCGGCCCCACTAATGTAGTAAAGGGGACATCGAAGGGTTTCAGCCGCACTTTCTGTCTTGATCTCAGATATAGAGTCTAACAAAAGCTTTTGAAAGGAGCTTACCAGCTGTCATGGTTTTCCCGCATCCTGGGGGCCCGTGGAGGAGGAACACAAGTCCGCGTCCCTTACCCGGAATGTAGTCGTCAAAGTCAGGAGAAGAAGCATGATGGCTCTCAATGAGGCCGCTCACAACCTCTTTCTGTTTCTTGTCCATTTGCAGCATATCGTATGTTCCTTGCTTCCAGACAATAGGCCTCACAGAGTCAACCATAACGAGACCCCATCTCTTGAACTTCAAGGAATAGGCTACAATAGTTGCTGGCGCTGTGAGGAAGTCTTCGGGTTGAAGATTGGTTCCAGTTAGCCCACCCATGTCATCAGCACCGAGAACAGACTTAATGTTTCGCTGGTTATCCTGCAAGACGACCGGCCCCTCCCGGGGGCCAGCATATCCACCAACAATAGTTTCCCGAAATCGAGGGTCCTCAAGATACTTGCCCGCGGGATCAACGATGAGTCTTCCTTCATGCTGCACAAATGTCAGCTGTGCACCTTGCTGCGAATGGGATTTATTACCTCACGAGTAGGTTTGCTAAAGAAGTCGACGCCAGTAGTGGTGTTTGTAACCATGGGATGGCTCTCACCCCCGGAGATCTCCCAGAAAGGACCAGAGCAAGTGCGGTGGGACCCTTGTGTTGCACGGGTTGTTTGTAAGGAATCGCCAGTGCAGAGCTCAACGTATTTCTTTCCGCGCTCGATGAGACTTTGTCTCAACTCTTCTTTCAATGGATGTAGGTCGAGAGGATAGGCGGGCAATGCGCGAATTGCTTTGGCGCCTTGGAATCCTCCAATCCCGAATGGCCTTTCAACTTTTAAAAACTGCTTACCATCGAAGCTAGTAAATTCGGCGGTGATCAACCACACAGGCAGCAGATTGTCTTGTTGATTATCTCTGCTCTGTTGAAAGCAACTCTTGACGACGACGCACCAGATCATTGTCTTCTCTGGAGCTTCCCTACTCTGCAAGATGATCTCGGATCCAACCGGAAAGAGAGACCAGAGATCTGCGGCACTAATCCGGCCCTCCGTCAGGGAAGCCTCGATTGCGGTGATTGTCTTCCCCATATAAGATTTTTGGAATACTTCCAACAGCTCAAGCTCTCTCTTGAGTCCGTCGTCTGTTGCCTCTTTGATTGCTTTCTGGATTCGGTCTCGATTGAAGTATAGGTCAGAGAAAGGCTCGGTAATCATGATAGGATCTTGTTCCAGACTGATCGACGTGAACCCTTGAACGATCTCTTTGAATGCTTGACGAAGAATTGTGGACTGGATCTCCAACCTCAAGGTCCATGTATCACCCTTATTGGGATCATAGTGATAGATGCGTCTGAAGAGGAGAGAGACATCACTGAATTTACCCTTCGATGACCTCTTCCTTCCATCGCTACTTCTACTTTGCTTTTCAGACGTTTTGAAAACATCACCAGTGTTCCCGTATGAGTTGGAGAGCTGGGTGACATCTTCAAAGCCAGAATTGTATGGTGGCTTCTCATCGGATTTTTCTGGGGCCTTGCGGAACTTCGTGTAGTCTTCGTATGATTCCTCGAAGTTGTCTTCCATGAAATCATCTTCCATATTGCCTTGAAGATGTTGTTCCTGCCGGTTTACAATCGGACGTGATCGAGCGATAGATAGCATGAAATCCGAGATGATCCATTCAGAAATGAAATCACTGAAACAGGAGGAAAAGGTCGAACCAAAGCAGAAGGCCTCAATGACGATCAGTACACAGCCACTGCCTGCCCATCTCTTTGGGGGCTTTTTTTTGTCAAGGTAATGTTTATTGTGACCGAGTAGATATGCAGCGCTCATGTGGGGCCGGGATCGGTGAACCCTGTGGCAGCTCGGGGCTGTGCATGGCGTGCCGCTAGATAATTACTTATAACGACTAGTGGCTCGTCATTTGCGGCCCAACATCTGTGAGGTAACCTGTGTCAGGGCGCAGTCATTGAAAAATTTGCGTGAGGCTTTCTTTCAGGCTTTCTTTCAGGTTTTTCACCCCTAACATGCATACCTGCTGATATTCAAGGATGAATCGGCTGACGCTCCCCCACCGATCACGAAAGCAGTCTCCTTACTCGAAAGCAAACCTTTGGCATTTTGACGTCAAGCACCAAATCAAGTAATCACGATGGCCACGTTAAGCAGAGGGAAAATTAATCCTGCTGATTCAAGCGACATCGAGAGGTCTAAGAAATCAACTCCAGAATCGGACCAGCAGCAAGCTCATGTAGAGTGGTCCTTACCAAGCCTCGACGTGGAAACCACCAAATCAACATTGAGGAGCCATGAACACTTTGTGGTTAAGAGCGGTTATGTCATGAGTGATCTTCCAAAATTCGATGACCTCTTACCCTATGGCACAACTGCGGAGGACGAGACCGGGCTTTGGGAGAAGGAAGTGGCACGTCTTGTCAAAATTGCAAACTCTCCAGCAGCACTTCATCTCCACGGAGAAGAAGACTGGTTTGGAAAAGCGGATCGAGATGGTTATACCAGATTACACAAGATTGCAATACAGCTACAAGACGCGCTTGATATCTGTAACCATGACAATGAGCTGCTGTTGATCGAACACATGTCTGAGCAGGCAGATCGACAGACCTACAACACCGCACATAACAGATTACTGCGGTATTACGACCCCGATGAAGGAAAGGAAAGATTCCAGCGTCATCTCCGTCTCGACAACAGCAATGACAGATACTACCATGCCATCGTCAACTACCTTACTGGCATGATGGTGCGCGTCCTTTTGCGCGTGATGCGTGGGGCTTTGTGGGAGGAGCAGTGCGTCGTCACAGTTGCAAAGTTTGCCGCAAAGCTGAAGATCTTGGTGAACGACTTGCCAATGTTTGCGGCAACTTGCCTCACAAGGACAGAGGAAGTCCAGTTTCGTACCTTTCACCAAGCGAAAGTGGACAGCAGAATGGAATACGGCAATTCAACATTGGATAACGATGGATTAGTGCCGCCGGAGAAGATCCCGAACAGCCAGCAGCCTCAATTGGAGCGAGGCTCGGTCGATGCCGAGATGCGATATTTCATTCTTATGAAGACCTTTCATCTTGGCATCTCCCGTCTTCTTGTATCGACGCTTTCAAATCTCAGATCGAATGAAGACACAGAGATGTCGACGGATGTCTTCAATACCAGTGTTATGATGTACGAGGACTACATCATTAACCGGCGGTTGTTCCTCTGCTCTCAACGCGATGGTACCATTGGTAGCGCTACTGATTCGAGAGTCATTGCGTCTGCGGGTGCGGCATTCCAAGTGTGCCTGGACGCCTGGAAACCTTTGGCAGACCTGCCAGCCGACAAGAACATCCTATCCCAGGACTGGACTCTACTGTCGTGGAAGTGGACAGAGCTCGACCCTAAAACTTTTGAACGGCTACCTGGCAACTTCACTTCGTCTGTGAAGTTGTCGACGATGAAGAGAGCCATCACTAGTCTCGTCCCATATTTCATGGTTTGCGGCAGCTTTCCTAGCCTGCTCCAGGACTTGTCCAACAAAGTCTCCTTAATCACAGATCCAACAGCACCAGTAAAGCCTGTCAACCAAAAACCTTTCTTGGCAGTGTTTACATCTCGGACAAGCGCATATATGGCCAAGCGGTTTGATATCTTCAGCGATGATGACGTTTGCGATATCTCGCATTCAGTGCTTGCCCGTGGGAAGGCTCTGGCCAGGTCAGCGACGACAGGTCTACCGATAATGTATGTTGATGATCAGCAGACAGCAACCAGTGAGAGTATACGCCTTACTCGGGATGCGGAGCGGAGGAGAATGGCTAAGGCTATGAAGGAGTTCCAGACCTGGATGATCGATGAGACATCAATTATCATTCCCCATAAGCTGTACGCCTGGGGATTCTTGGGCGGATCTGCGGTGGTTGTCTTCGGCGGCCTAGCCATGGGACTGACTGTAGGCGATCGAATCACCGGAGTTGATCCTTTAGGGCTCGCTAGCTACTGCTGGCTGTTTGCTGGATTCGTGTTACTTGTTGCGAAATCTCTCCGTGTCGAAAACTGGCCTTGGAGCCGTTTCTTCCGCGGTCAGGTGGTATGCAAATCAGTGAGTGAGGTACACTCCGTTACTGGGATGGATACGCAGATTATCCTAGCAATTTTGCTCAGGCTCGAGCCTAAGATGAGTTTGATCAAGCGAGGGCCTTTTAATGCTGTGTTCTCCAAGCGTGGAGCAGAAGGATTCGCTATTGATGTCCCACTACACACTTCCACCCTCATAGAAGGAGGTTTGATCCTTGTTAAGGTGCAGAGTGTTGTCGGAGATGCTCTCATAGGTATTCATTCTGATCTATGGACTCGATACGATTCTGTGTCTCCAAAGGGCGACAACGCGTTGGAAGACAGGGTAGTTTGTAAGGATTTCCTGGATCCAGGAACGTGGATATCAAAAGCTGAAAAGTTTCCCTTGTACACGTTGAGTCGAGATGATATTCAATGGTTTCGAGTTGTTGGGCTCTTTGAGAAAAACGCGTACTTTAATTAGGTTCACCTATCTATAATGTAGAACCGACAATGATGAGATCTAAAAGCAGCAAGCGTGAACTGCGACTACATGTCTAATTGCCTGAAGCGATTCTCTTGCAAAAAATAAATTTGATGGTATAATTCGTAAATTTGAAGAGTCCTGCTTCAAAGCGTTTATGACTGGCCTTAGAGAATGGGGACTTCTTGATCACGACTTCACGAAGCTCGGCGCAACATTCACGATTTGGCACAGGGTGTTGTGATTCAGCTACTTGTACATTGCTATTATTACAATGGCTATGGAGCTGAGAAGACCCTCCTTCTAATACCCAGAACACCGATCAGCACACAAGAGTAACCAGGGAAGAACAAGTATGGCTATAAGAACCATAAATGATAAGATGGGAGCCCTCGTCGCACTTATCAACAATCGTAACAAGCTCGACCTCCACGTCCAACAGCTTCATCAGCAATCGGCTGCTAATATCATTGACATTGCCGCCACGCCTAGCACGACTGATCCCATAGCCAATCTGGTCGGCCGGCCTGTTGAGCAAGAGGCTTCTGGTGAAGATATCGCCGAGGAGACTCTCGGCGAGGTCACTGAGGAGCCCTCGGCCACCTCTCCAAAGCATTGAGTCGACTTTGCCACTTCAGCAGCATCTCAGCCTTGTACGGTTATTATAACCGTACATTGAGCTTCCGCACCACACTTGCGGCTAGTATAACCGTATTTGTCCTGGTAGGCGCGGGCTCAATACACCCCCCGATGTTCGGGCGTCTGGTCCACCAGGTCGCAGAAATGGGAAGGCGGGATGTTGTCCGTGAACCAGGCGAGGGCTCGGCGCATAGAAAAGTCGACAAGCTCACCTGCTCCAAGAAGAGCACTCCGGATTAATATTATTCTTATCTAAGAAATTAATAAATTCGGGAAAAATTATATAGCTTTATAAATTTGCTAGTTATTTTAGAGCTTTTAGTTTCAGTTTTTTTAAAGCTAGTTTTTAAAGTTACTTAATTCAAGTTCTTATAAGGCTTTATTTACTTTTATTTTTTACTATATTAAAACTTTATATAGCTTATATTTCGAGAGGTTCTATATTAGAGCTTTATATATAATAGTTTATATGTTATTATTATTATTATTAATAATAAGCTAAATAATATTAATAAAAGCTTATATAAATCTAATATTCTTTTAATTTTATTTATTATAAAAACATATTTATTAATTAAAGTAATAAAGAATTCAAAATAAAAATATTAAAATCTTCTTTATATTAAATCAATTCATAATATTATTTAAATAATAAATCTCCTTTAATTTCTTATTACTTTTCTGGCTTTATTTTAGTAATAAAAATAAAAATAATATAAATATATAAAGCCAAATCTTTCTTAAAAAGCATTTTATTAGGCTTTATTAGTATATTAAAGAATTAATTATAATTAATATAATTTAGATTTTTTTTAATTAGATTAGAATAATTAATTAGATTAATAATAATTAATTAGATTAATAATAATTAATTAGATTAATAATAATAATTAATTAGATTAATAATAATTAATTAGATTAATAATAATTAATTAGATTAATTTATTATATAATTATAATAAATTACTATTTATTTAATAAGTATTAAATAATTAAAGCACTTATTAGATAGCCCTAGTTAGGCTTATATAATAGTAGCTATATACTAGCTTTTAATAATAATAAACTAGTTATTTTCTTATATTCTTTCTTTTTTAATTTAGCTTCAGGTTATTTATTAAGTATTACTACTTCTAATTAGTATAATACTAGATTTAGAGCGAGTATAAGTATTACCAGATTAGGCTAGTATAGTTATATATAGGATTATATATATATTAATTAGATTAATTAGATTAATTATAATTAATTTAATTAATATATAAGTAAAATATAATTAATATAATATATTTCTCGAAATATTACTAGGCTCTAATTAAGATCTATCTCTATTAGGGCCGCTAGGAGCATTATATAACCTATACTAGCCTAATTAGGTACTAGTTAGAAGAGGTATAATAATTAGCTAGATAATATAGTTATTTAACTTATATTATATAATTAAATTAGTTCTATTTTGCCTTATTTATAATGGCTAGTATAAGGGTATAATTTACTAAGAATAAGATATTAGAAACAGGTATAAAACGAAACTAAGCCAGAATTACTTAAACGGAATAATACTAAAGGTTAAGGCATTCTCCCTATTTTATTTTATAGCTTAGTATTTTCTAATATATAAGATTCTTTAAATTTTAAGCCTTTAACTATTATATTAATCCCGCTATTATATAATACTAAGCTTACTTGACTCGGCCTATAGAGGCAATATAATATTACTAGTAAAGAACTCATATTTATTCTTGGAAAGTAAAAACAGAATACTACTTTTAATATTTAATAACCTCCTCAAACTATAAAGAACTAGAGAGCTTAACTAGAAATATAATATCCTTTATAACCTAGTTAATCTCAGAGCCTAACTCTTAATTATAACAGATAATATTTCCTTTCTAGTAATTAGTTCTTTACTAATATAAAAGAAGAAAGATATTATTTTTTATAACCCGATTAACCTTAAAGCCTAACTCTTAACTAGAATAGATAATATTTCCTTAATACTAATGAGAATAAAAGAACTGGCCTCCTTTCCTAATATAGGAAGAATTAGTAGTAATTTACTAATTTAAAATAAGAAAAGATAATAGTTAGTTTTAGTTTACTAACTTAAAACTAAATAAGATAATAATTAGTTATAGTTTACTAATATTAAATAAGAAAAACTTATTTAGTACTTATTTCTATAGCTAATATTCTTTCTAAAGCTACTATAGATAGCCCGGGGCCAAGTATTATTATTATAGGTATATTAGATAAGAGGCCCTAGTATAATAAAATGAAAAAGCCGGACTTTAATATTATAAACCTATATTACCGGGAAAGCTATTATAATACTATTTCGGAAAAAGATATTAAGAAGTAACTAGCTAATTTAGAACTTAAAATTAGTATAAATACTCCGAAAATAAATAAGGCCTAGTAAAGATTACTTATACGGGATAATCTTATTAATAAATACTATCTTATAGCTAATAAATAAGTAAAATACTATTAGAAATTTCACTTATATATTAATTAACTTACTAAGAAAGTTAATAAGCTAGAAGTAATTACTAGTCGACTTTATATAAGGGAAAGACTAGTATAAGAAGAAGTAATAAAATAGAGATTTAAATAAGTAAATATTTAGAAATACTATAGATTCCTGTTAGGAGAACTATTTAGGGGCTAATACTAAGGCTTCCTCTCGCTTTCTATCTATAGTAATTAACTATAGCTCATTAGAATTAAGGATCCTACCCTATTTACGGGTAAGAATAATTACTAGATTAATAACTAGATATTTAATATAAGAAATAAACTAATATAGAACTTTTCTAAATTTAATAGTAAATTACTAAAGATTACTTATATAATATAACTAGTTACCGGAAATGCCTATAACTTTATTTATAATTAACTAGAACCTGAATTAGTTAGATAGATCTTAATTACTAAATAGATTTTTAAGATTCTCTAGTAAGCTTATAATAAAAGCAAAGAGATAAAGTACTAGGAAATAAAAGAGATATACTAGTACCTAAAATAAGGAAATAAGCTATTCCTGGTATTCTAGATAAAGTTTACTTACTTAATAATAAAACTAGGGAAGTTACTAGATAACTAATATAATAATTTAATAAATAAAATAAATCTCGAGCTACTTAAGAACTTGAGTAATAAGAAGTTTAATATTTCTAGGAACCTTACTAAGTAATATATAGAATAAGAGAATAGACTTCTCTTAATTAAAAATTAGTAATTCTAGAAAGAATAACTAGTAGAAACTACTTGCTACTAAATATTATCTTAAGCTAGAAAGCCTACCGGAATTCAAGAAGCTATAGTAACCCTATATCTAATAGATTAATCTTAGTAGCCGGTATTCTTATAGCTAAAGAAAGTAGTTTACTAAGAATTTAAGAAGAGACTAGACCGGCTAAAGGGCCTTTATTATTATAGTTATAGAAAGCCTAAATATATAAAAAGTACTTGTTCTAACTTTAATAAAATTATACTTATTAAAGAAGATTATTTAGAGAAAGCTAATAATTTAGAAATAGATAATAAGAATACTAACTCTTATTTACTATCTAATAAAAAGTATAATATTAATAAGTCGAGAAAAGTCTAGCTCTAGATATAAAGATAGCTTTTCTAGAGTAAGAACTTTACTAAGAACCCGTAGATCTTATTTAGCTAATTAATAGAAACTAGTTCCTTATTAATTATTAAGTATATTAGAAAAGTAAAACTATAATCTTCTAGTATTTAGTAAATACCGGAATAAATATATATATTCTAATTAACTAAAAGCATATTTGCTTCTTAATAAAAGTATTATAAATGCCCTTATATAAATTCAAAACTCCTGTTTTCTTACAAAATTTTAATAAATAATCTAGTAAAACTATTTAATATCTAGCTATTATAGATCTAGCTATTAATTAGTATTTCCAAACTCAATAATATTTACTTATTACTAACCTCGGCTTTTATAATATAATTCTGGGAAGGAAATAGCTAGTAAAATATAATATTCTACTAGACTATTAATAGAATTAACTCTATTAGCTAGAGAATTATAAGACAAATTAGCTAGACCTTATTTAGAAAATCTAATATTTTAATAAGAAATATTAAAAAGATAATTACTCCGAAAATATTCTAACTAGAATCCTAAAAAGAACTAGTAAAACTAGACCCGAAAAGTAAAAGAATATACTTCTTATTTTTTTATAAGACCTTCTTATAAGGAAAGCCAAATATTAGGTAAGAAAAAAAGAGCTAGACCTTAATACTCTCGAAATAGTTAAGTTATTAGATTATTCCCGTGATTTTATTAGAGTAGCTATTTTCTAATTAAGTACTAAAGATTCCGGTAACTTAATTAGATTAGTTACTATTAATAAGATTAACTATATACTTAAGAAATAGGGTTATAAACCAAAGAAATATCTATTAT